ATCACCCCCCAGCACCCCCACACTGCGTGAGCTTGGGTGGTGTGTGGACCTAGGACTACACACTGGGCGCCAGTCTCCAAAACCCAGGGTGGGGCAGTGAGGCAGAGCTGGGTCCCGCTGTAACAGGGCCAACTCCACCAGCTCTGGGTACGGCAAAGTGACCCTGGGCTACCATATACTTCCTCTGGGGCATATCTGCCCTGCAGCACCTGCTGGGAATAGGAGTGGGATGGGGGCCTGGTGGGAAGGTGGGCAAGTGGCCCAGTTTGCCCAGGACCAAGGGAGTGCCCAGGGGTTGGCAGAGACGGTGCTAAACTCTAGAAAGTCCCGGCCCAGCCAGGAGGTCCCATCACCCTATTTGAGGATTAGTGATTCTATCTGGGCTACAGCCCACTGCCAGGACCATCCAGGAAGCGTGCAGGGGGAGACTGAGGGCCCGCCCCGCCACTCCAGACAGGCCCTGGATTCTCTGGCTCCTGCAGGGGTGCAGGCACCATGCCAGGGCCCCCTGGGCACATGGCTTGCTCTATGGGGTTCCACATCTCCTGGGGGTGCCCCAACACCAAACCCCGGTGACTTATCAGCCTTCTCTCTCCAACTTCCACCTTCCAGAAAGCACACCTGGGGAAGAGGGTGGCAATTAACGTTATCAGCCACAAAGGATCAGAAGGAAAACCCGCTGGCTGGCCGCTGTGCATCGTTAGGGCCATAACCACTTCAAGCGTCTGGGGGTTTGTTTTGTTTTCTCTGGCCCCAGGGGGTGTTGAGAAGGGGCTGTATCTACCACTCATCGATTTCAGATCTACGCTCCGGGCGGAGAACATGGACTCACTGGGGAATCATCCAGCTCTGAGACTGGCCAGGGGGGACCCACCTGGGCATACCCTCCAGGAGGAAGGACCCCCAGCCGCCCCCACGGAGGCAAGGAAGGAGAATGAGACCCCTCTGCCCGCGGAAGGCTGTTGTGAGCCTAGAATTTTAACTTATGCAATGGATACCACACCGAGCCCCCAAGGGAAGGGAAAGAGAAACGCACACACACACACACACACACTCACACTCACACCCACACACTCACAGTCACACCCCTCCTGCAAGTCTGATGATCTGGGAAGAAAAGGGAGGTGGAGGGAGGTCTGAGGAGGTGGTCAACTTGGACTTGTTTGCAGGCTCGTGATGGTGGACGGGAGGTAAGTGTGTTTCAAGAAGGCATCCCCTGCAGAAGTGCTAGTTTGGTAGCCAGAGGCAGACCCTCCACAGACAGAGCCGTCACCCACCACCGCCAGGCCCCCAAGGAGAGCAAACCCCAGGTGCACACGCCTTTAACCATGACTAGGGTTCTCCAGGCTCCCAGGACTCTTCCTGGGAAGAGTTGATTTACCTCTCATTTGAGTCTCTGCTTCTCAGGCATTTTCTACCGAGGCCAGGCTTAAAAAAAATTCACTTAATACTCCTGCTTACTTTCCAAGATGCCTCAGATCAGGACCTAGAATTTGAACCTAGCTTTTCCCCCAATGAAGAAATTCTCTGTCCCAGATCTCTGCTGATCTTCCCTGCTCCTCTGTGATTGAAAAGCACCTTTTACAGGGGAACGTTTAGAGTGAAGACCACCAAACACTTCAAGTGGAATTCAGATTGGAGCCTATGGAACATTTTATGCTTTCATGAATGACACTCTTGTTCAGGAATGAATCTTGTATGAAAAGTCTGTTTTAAGTGCACCTTCCAGAACCTTCTTTTTGCCTCTGAAAGGAAGAGGCAGAACAGACGGGAAGTTTTCGGATCCTCTTGAGAGTCGCCCTGGCTTTCCTCGGGGTGGTGAGCTCGGAGCAGAGGGGATACTGGCTTGGCCCTCAGGCCCTGCCATCTTTCCACACAGGCCAGTTTATTTAGCAAAAGCACGCCCCCGCCCCCCGCCCTCCAGGAATTTGAGCACGGCTTTCTGCAGAGCCTCCCTGGAGACGGAGAATCTCACTCCATCTCAGGTACCAACTGCTGCTCAGCCCAATTTCTCACCTTTGCCAGGGAGCAGCCCCTTGAAGTTCCCCACAGCTCCTGGGCCTGGAGGCCAGTTCTGGCTCGGGCCAGAGTTGTTTTTCTAGGTGCAGATTTCCCCCCACCCCCAATGAGACTTTTCACTCACTCACTTCTGTTACCAGCATCTGTTAAGATCCAGCTGGTGATGTCGCTTGCCTCACAGGCACAAGGCCCTGGGTTCACGCCCCAGCACCACACCAGAAAAAAAAAAAAGAAAGAAAAGAAAAAATATCCAAAAACTTAGAAATGAGACAAAAACATGGCTCTGCAACCTCTCCAAGTCATCGTGGGGCAGTGTTTAATAAATCCCCCCGTTCGACCCTTCGGTGGGCATGGACCCTGAGACGGGAGCACGTGCAGATGGTTTCCCGGGGAGTTGTTCTCAGGGGGTGCACCTGCAAGGGGGTGAGGGAGGAAGGGCGGGGCAGGGGTGAGGAGAGGAGCCATGTGCTGCAGCTGAGGCCTCAGCCCATCCCAGGGAAGGCTCCGGAGCTGGGGTGGCCCCTTCAGCATTGTCCCAAAGTGAGGCAAAAAGACAGGGCTTGGCCTCACCTGCTCAAGACAAGCCAGGGGTCAGGGAGGGCCAGTGTGACCCTGGGAGAGGGTCCTCCCCTCTCAGGCAATCCCAGTGAGGGACAGCGCTGTCAACCACACACGAAGATTTAGCGGCCAGTGCTCCCAGCCGCAGCGGATAGTGCTGGACCTCGAGAGCAGATCTGAGCAATACCTGGGGGTCCGTCCAGGGGAGGGACGATCACTTTGGCTTCTGATTTACGATGAAGGCTCAGACTGTAGAAACTCTCTTAGAGAAAAATCGATTGCAAACGATGTTTGTCTGGTAGAGATGTCAACAACTCTTGGTGGTTAGAAAAGAAAGTCCCGAGGGTCACAGGTTTTTGCCCGTCTGACCTAAATGAGTTTCTGGTTTGACTTAGCAAATCCCTGGGTTTGTGACTAGGGATTGAACCCAAGGGATTACAGGCATGCGTGGACCATGCCCAACATGGTCTGTATTTTTTATCTTAGCTATCTCAGTGGGTCCAAAATAGTATCTCATTGTGCCTTAAATTCACATTTCCCAAATAATCAACAGTATAGAATATTTCTTTGTTTGCTTATTGACCATTTTTGTATCTTTGGAGAAATGTCTACTAAAGGCCATATTGCTGTTGTTGTTCTGGGGATTGAATCTAGTGTATCTCACATGCACTCCACCACTGAACCACATCTCTAGCCCCTTTGTAAATTGTTTATTCTGAGACAGGGGCTCATGAATTTGCAGAGGCTAGCTTCAAACTTTGTGATCCTCCTGCCTCAGCCTCCCAAATCACTGGGATCACAAGCATGCGCCACCATGCCGGGCTTGTGTTTAATTCTTTGAGGAAACATCATACCGTTCTTTATAGTAGCAGTACCATTTTATACTCCCCCTAGAAATGCAAAGAGTTCCAATTTCTCCACACTCTCACCCGCACTTGATATTCTCTGTTGGGGGTTTCATGGGACTTTTTAATAATAGCCAACCTAGGGAATGTGAAGTGGAGGCTCACTGGGGTTTCCATACGTATTTCCCTAAGGCTAAGTGAGGCTGACCGTCCTTGCGCATGCTTTTTGGCCATTTGTGTGTCTTCTTTGGAGAAATGTCTATTCCAGCCTTTGCCCGCTGATGGATTGAGGTGTTTGGGGGTTGTTTTATTGAATGACAGGAGTACTCACCATTTTTAGAAGAGGAAAGCTAATCTGTATCCTCCCAGCACACATCCACCCACACACTCCACAGTCAGGGTGACAGGGCAGATCCCAGGAAAAAAAAAAAAAAATGAAGCAAGAAAATGCGACAGCAACACACAGGCTTGTTGGAAATCAGCCGCTGGGCCAGGAGAGCAGGCCGCACTCCTACGCTGCCCCAAGCATGGGGAACAGCCCCCAGGAAATGGATTCTTTCCCTTTACAAGGGAACTCCAGACACCTGCCTTCCTGAGAATCTGGCCCACCTGATGAGACTTTGCATCGGTATTAGTTTGCTAAGGTTTCCATAACAAAACCCCACAGCCTGGGTGACTTAAACACCACAGATTTATTGGCCACAACTGGAAGCTAGAAACCCAAGACCAAGTTTGTATGGTTGGCTCCTTTCAAAGGGTCCTGGGGGAGAAATCCGTTCCAGGCCTGTCACCTGATCTCTAAGGGATGGTGTTCTTCCGTGCTCCTGAGCTGCACCTGCCTCAGCCTGCCTCCGTGTTCACAGGGCATCCTCCCGACGTCTCTGTGTCTTCACTTGCCCATCTTCTCCGTGACGCCAGTCATATGGGACTTGGAGTCCATCCAACCCCAGTATGGCCTCATCTTGACTTAACTAATTACCTCTGTGATTATCTTCCACCGTCCTACCACACACGTGCACACGAGCATGCACATACACACACACACACACACACACACACACACACACACACACACACACTCCAATCCAGGGGACGAAGGTGGCAAAGACAGCTTAAGCTCAGAATGTGCGGGGGGAGATGGAGGTACAAATTCCTGCTCCCCTCCTCAGCCGCCATTTGGCTGTGGGTGCCTGCCTTGGCCTCCTCATCCTCATTTCTTCATCTGTAAACAGCAAGAACACCCATTTCAAGGGTTTCCCATGAGGACTAAATTGGAACCCGTCTGTTAACTTACGTAAGGTGTCTGGCAAGGGGAGCCCAGTGAATATAAATAGTAACGCGCTGTCCCTTGATTTAATCAAGAAATTCTGCCTCGTAAGGAATGTAGGAACAGAAATGGGACCAATCCAAAGGATCCTTCCAAACCACCCCAGCTCCTTCTGCCTCTCGCACGGCAGGCAGCCTGATAGAATAGACAGAGACAAGTCAGGGCCACAGAAGACCCGGAATCTAGTTCTGTCTGGCCACTTGCCAGCTGGGTGACCTTGGGCAAGAAACATAACCTCTCTGGAGACCTAATGAGACTGCACACATGAAAGAATTTTATAAACTAGAAAGGCCTGGGAAAACAAAGATGGCGGCACCGTGATCAGATGTGGCCTGGGGATAGGAGCCATCACTCCACATGTTTTCTTTTTAGAGGACAGCTGGACAAAAGACTCTCCTCCACAAAGAACTGAGGACAGCAGTTTGGTTAATGGTCCTTCGCCGGGAGGCCAAAAGGTGAAAGGTCAAAGCAAGGCCTTGTCTTCCAGGGGGATTCCTACTGGGAGGGCTGGGGGCTGGCTGCCCTCACTGAGGCCCAGAGCAACTGGCTCTCCAACCAAAGAAAGGGATCCTTTGTTTAGAGGATTCTGGGGAAGAAGAAAGATAAGGAGGAGGGTGGGTAGGACAGACTGCCAGAGTGTCCCCTCTTGCTTCCTGACGAACACATTGGACGCTGGGCAGAATCTAGTTGTTCATTCAATGACCTCGATCATCACTATCATCAGTGACTACCCACTGAACACCGTCTGCGGCTCAGCACTGTGCTAAGTAAGTAAGGTCTCACGGAACCCTTACAGCCACCTGGTTCAAGGTCAGATTACCTGAACCTTCCCGTTCAGATGAGCCCGGCAACTGAGGCTGGAGGCACTGCCCCGGCTGACTCCTGAGCACATGCCCTCTTACTGAACGTAGACCCTAAGTCAGACTGTCAGAGGAGGGCTGGAGAGACAGAAGGGACACCAACAAGCTCCCTGACCACAGGCAGCATCGAGGGTTCAACAGAAAGAGGCTGTACACAGGACTTAGAGTCCACCTCCAGCTCTCCCTGGCTTTCTCGCTCCGTAGGAGAAAAACCCAGAACTCTAGAAGCTAGGGTCAGGGTCTCGTTCCCCCCCTCCCCGACACCCAGCTACTCAACCAGGTCCATCAGTTTGACCCAAGGTCAAGTTGCCCGTCTGAGCTAGGAGTGACTGAGAGCCTCCAACATTGGTACCCACCACTGAACGTCTTGAAGAAACCAGCACAGGTCTTGTTCCAGGGCAAAGGACAAGATGGCCAGAGGAGCCCGTCGTGACAAGTGAGCAGGACTGACCTCCTTGGGCCTTTTCGTCTGTCGACTGGCTTCACGGTTCTTATCCACTGGTGTAGGATGCGGTTCCTGTGCCTGCTCCATAGATGGGGAATCTGAGAATCGGAGAGGGAGCAGTCTTCCTAGGGTCACAAAGTGAGGACACGGGGCCAGCCGGGTGTTCCTGTTCTGGGGTGTCTCACCGCGTAGATTTACAAAGCGGTGGGGAGGGATTTGTTACGCCTGGGAAAATGAGGCTTCCGGAATGGTGTCTCCGAGAAGGAGCTTCTGGGACTTGGTCTAAATTTAAATATGGCTGGGAAGTCAGGCCACGGGGTGGGACTCGGGAGTCTCCACACTCGCTGGCCTCGGGGCCTCAGCTTCCTCTCATAAAAGCGGAAGCAATAATGGCATTTACTTCTTGGGATTGTTATGGAAATTAAATAGGCTAATAAAGGTAAAGCACTTAGAATAATGTTTGAACATAACAACTCGGCCGCCCACTAATATCACTACTAAAAGACGATGATGATTCGAGGATCTGTTTTGCGCCAGGTACCATGCTGGATGGTTTTCTCTATATTATCGCCTCTTCCCACTACAGTGCTACAAAAAGATATAATTATTCTCTCCCACTTGAAGAAACAAACCCGAAGAAATGTGAAGGCCAGCCTCCCAAATAGTCCCCAGTGTTCCTCGCCCCCTGTCTTTATGTAGGCTTTTCCCACATCCAACAGGGCCGACCTGTGAACCAATGAGGTGTTGTGGAACTGAGGCTGTGTTACATCAGAGGGTGGGTCATAAAATGTCTGCGGCTTGCACCCTACTCTCCCTGACGGCAATCAGTCGAGTCACCAAGGTAAGATCTTCCATCTTCAGCTGACATCCTAGCTACAGCTTCACAAAAGACCTGCAGCCAGAACCGCCCAGGGAAGCGGCTCCTGAACTCCTGACCCACAGAAACTGCAGAGAATCATTTATTTTTAAGTCAATAAGCACTGGGGGGATGTGTTACACAGCAAATGGTAATGAATACGGGCAACTCCCCGAGGCCAGGCAGGCCTAATGTCCACAGCAGGGCTCAGGAGTGGTTTCCAGGTGGACCAGAAGGGGATGGCCACCCTCAGTAGTGATGGGTGGCTTCTTCCCGTCAGCTCCTCAAGGGCCAGAATCCAGCTGTGGGGGAAATGGCACAAGAAGACACAGCCCTGGGTGCCAAGGCCAGAGCAGGCCAGGTTCCGGAGGAGCCTAGAGGGCAGCCCCCAGGCAGGTGACCGCTGGCTGTCTGCTTCACTCCTTTTCTGAGGACCTCCGGGGAGGAAGGGACACTCAGGACAGTGGCCATGGCAACCCTCCGCATTCGGAGCTTCCCCTCCATGCCTGGGAACTGCCCAGGTGTCAGCTGCCACCCCTCGGATGCCCACCCACATCCCAGGATGCCACCTTCCTCCAGACAGAGCCACCGCAGCAGCTGGAGGTCTCCCCTGGGCTCGCTGGGGGACGGCAAGGAGTTCTCCTGCCTCTCAGCCCTGTGGTCATTGTTAACTGGGTCTCGTCTATTTTACCCCCCGTGGCCCTCTGCTCTCGGAAACCCCCCCTGACCCGAGGGCTGCAGCTCCCGTCCCCTGAGCTGCTCGGAATTCAGGCCGTACCACGTGGACACAGTACCGTGGCTGGCTTTGAAAGTATCAAGGGAACTCCGGATGCACGGCAAATAAAAGGCATTTGCTATCAGAGACTGTAACAGGGTTCACGGTCCTCAAGAGACTAAATGAATGCTCTCTGCCGTCAAAGGAGCTTCAGAATAGAGAAGTGGAGGGTGGGCGTGGACGACAGGCAGAGAGCACCCACCAGTCACTCAGGGGGAAAGGAGGGGCCGAAGCCTCCACCTGTCCACAGGGGGCTGGAGCCCGTCGCTGTCCACCTACCCACCCACCTCCAATGGGGAGGCAGCGGAGGGTGTGCCGTGCCCAGGGGGGACTCAGCCTTCCCTGGTGGCCACCGTGAGTCTGTGGTCCCCTGTTCCCACCCCCATCCACCTTCATCTGTGCTTTCCCTTGGCATTTAATTGAGGGGGATGACCCATGAACTATATTGCTAAATTCCACACACCCAGCATCTCCCTGGAGAAATCCCTGGGCTGTCATTAGAACCCAGCCACCAAGGCACAGGCTGTCCCCATAGACCTTCCATACCTACTACTTATGTGAGCCCCGTATTGTCAAACAGAGGGAAACGGAGGGGCTTTGGAACCCAACACCAGGGCTCTGGTTCTGAGTCTCCCTCTGTGGACCCGCTGGGTGAGCTGGGATGAGTTCCTGGTGTCGCAGCAGCCTTCAATGCTCTTGGAAGATTCAGTGACATGATGTGTTAGAGAGTCCAGCCCAGAGCCTGGGGTGCGCTAGAAGCTCAAAATCAATAGCTACAGTTAGACAGAGCACGTCGTACGCTGACCTCTCTCACAGATGGAGAGACAAAAGCCAGAGAGGGAGGATGACAATCCCAAGGTCACAGAGCACATTGGGTACAAAGTCAGACCTGGACCTAGGGTTCCAAGTCCCTCACCATCTTGCCATTCATATGGAATATGGATAGTTTCTATCAGTGGGGGTCACTGTAGGGACCAACGAGAGCGATGTGGGCAGTGGTCAAGGAACCAAGCGTCAGGGTTCAAACCTCGTTTCTCCGTTTATGAACTTTGTGACCTCTTATAAGTAAATCACCCACATCTGGGGCCTCGGTTCTCCCATCTATAATCTGGAACTAATAAGGGTCTGCCTCGTAGGCTCATTGGGAGGCCTACAAGGGTTTGCAGTCAATAAACATCATCCCCCAACAATGTGACAGCCCGTTGCCTGTAATTCCCGTGCTAGAAATCCAGGCTGCCCAAGCGCAGGACAGGTTCCCAGGAGATGGAAGAGGCTGCCCCCCACACGCCCTGTCTGACTTAACAGAGGGACCAGTAGGAGGAAGAGAGGCCAAGAGAGGCGCTGGCCAGACCCAGTTGCGACTGGAGGCCGGCCTTCCATGCTCCGAGGCCTCCAGCCGGGCACTGGCTGAGACGGGCCTCTTGGCAGACAAGTGTCAGGCTCACAGCCAAGGCCTTGGGTAACAAGTTTTGAGCAATTCTCTAAGAGAGTGCGAAATCCCAGAGGGGCACGTGTCGGCCATGTCTGTCCATCCTCTGGGTTTGATCTCAGTTTTAAAGATCCTCATGAATCAGCCTCCTCTCTATTTTTAGACAACTCAGGCCTAGCTATGTGCCAGGGACTGGCCCTTCTCCAAGACTGGACTTTATTCTCTGATTTTTTAAGCCACTTTGTTGCTTTGTTAGCAGTTCTGGGGATCAAACCCAGGCCCCTGCACATGCAAGGTAAGCGCCTCTGAGCTACACCTTCACCCCTGAAGCGATTTGTTAATGCACCCTTGGGGGGGGGGATATAGAAGTTATTTCTCAGCATATCTGCAGTGGCAAGTTATAAGCAAGCAGGGCTGGCTTTTTTGCTAAATTCATACAAAACTAATTATTATGATAACAATGTGTCCACCCATCTCTATGTTGGGACTTTTTATTCCTGTTTTATGATCACATCTTTAGGGGCCGGCTTCCCCTGTCAGACTGGGAATGAGCAGGGTCTTTCTTGCTTGCTCATTCTTGTCATGATTTCGTTATTAGTGTCCCCAGCATCCAACAATGTCTGGCACCAAGGCTTGAGCTCCTGGTCTTCCTTCCCCACACTCGCTTCCCTTCCCCACGGTATGTGGCTCACCAGGATGCGCTATGGGAGACAGAGTTCCTGCTGATCCAACTCACTGTCTCCTCCCTCTTCTTGGGATGATCCTCTTTACATTAAAGACCCCTTGCCTAGCAGTATGGAGATTCCTCAGAAAACTTGGAATGGGACCATCATTTGACCCAGCTATCCCAGTCCTCAGTTTATACCCAGATGACTTAAAATCAGCATACTACAATGATGCAGCCATGTCAATGTTTATAGCAGCTCCATTCACAAAAGCCAGACCATGGAACCAACCCAGGTGTCCCTCAATAGATGAGTGGATTAAAAAAACGTGAGATAAACATATGATAAAATATTACTCAGCTTTAAAGAAGAATGAAATTATGGCCTTTGCCGGTAAATTGTTGGAGATGGAGAATATCATGCTAAGCAAAATAAGCCAATCCCCAAAAGACAAAAGACAAATGTTTTCTCTGATATACAGATGCTAATTCACAAAGGGGGAGGTGAAGCTAGGGAAGAATAGAGTTACTTCAGATTAGGTAGAGGGGAGTGTAAGGAGAGGAGGAGGATGGGGTAGAAAGGACATTATATGAATCGGACATTATTACCTAATGTACATATATAACTATACCACCAGTGTGATTCTACATCATGTACAGCCAGAATGAATGAAAAATCAAACTCCATTATATATGATGAATCAAAGAGCATTCTACTGTCACGTATAAATAATTAAAACAAATTTAATTTTTTTTTTTTAAAAAAAAGACCCCTTTCCTGTGTTTTGGACAAGGTGACCCTTGTACATGGTCAAGGGTAGAGTCCCAAGTCTCTGTGAACATAGTTGGTTCTGGGTTGGACCCTGGAGCTAAGAGCCGATCAGAGCAGCTCCACATTATTGAAAGGCTGCGCGATTGGGGACTCTAAGTCTCTGCTGTTCAATACAGTGGCCACTCATCACAGGTGGCTACTTAAATCTACATTTTGATGAACTAAAATTGATTAAAATTAAAAATTCAGTTCTTCAATCACATTAGCCATATTTCAAGTGTTCAATGGCCACATATCGTAGGTGGGTACAGCACAACCACAGAGGAGAGGTATTACCATAGAGAGTTCTGCTGGACCCACTGACCCAGAATAGCTTGCTTGTTGCTTCCTTTTCATTTTTCTTTCTTTTTTTTTTTGGATTGTTTGAGAGTCTTCATACCAAATTTAAACAGTCTTGACAGATAAGGACCACTAGTTATATTCATCAAGTACCCACAGGGGCTCAAGTTCACCCACAGGAGATGGTTTATGCACCCACAGAGTCACTTTTATTTCCAGATGAGCACCCCTCAGTGGGTGGGTCACAGGACACCCGAAATAATAGGACTCATTAGGCACCCTCCTACCTGCGGAGGCAACACCTTCCCTGCTTCCAGGTATTGATGGGGTTTTTAGATACACAGGTGATAATCAGATAAATGATAGATAATAGGTAATAGATAATGATGATATAGATGATAGATAATAGATGATAAATGATAGTGATAGACAGTAGATGATAAATACATAAATAGATAATAGGTGATAAAGACAAATGGTAGATACCGGGTAAAGATGATGGATAGACAGACAGACAGACAGACAGACAGGTAGATATCTCCCTGGGACAGTAAAGTGATGCCTTGCCTCACTTGACTGCCTTTATCCTCCTCCAACCATCCATTTGTTCCAGTCTGCAAAGGCCCTCCCTGCCCTTGATAGGCACCCTGGAGAGGATCCAGGCTCTGCTGGGACTATTTTAAGGAACTTGAGTCAGTGAGGAAGAGAATCTCCACCAGCACCCAGCACAGCCCGGGGCTCCCAACAGACTGATTGCAATGCAGAGAGAGGAAGAAGGGCAGGAATCTAGTACCTCCCAAAGCATTTGGTTATGGGTGGGATCCTGTTCCCACCACTGTCTGCCTGACTCTCAGTCTCTGCAGCTCCAGCCCAAATTCTAAAAACAGAGAACACGAG